TTTTTTTTTTTTTTACTTTTTATTTTTATGTTTACCACGATCTAATTGAGCTTGATTCCTCTACTGGTGCTTTCTGAACTTAGCATGTTAACTTTTATTTTAACTGCCACTGTGCCTCTCAATTGCCTTTATAAATACTATGATTGTATTTGTACGCTGGCTGTGTGGATGGGAAGTACCTGGCTGGCTTCTGATATTTGTTTGAGTCATGACTACCCACAGGGGTTCCCCAGGTATCCCAGGAGCCCACCTTACACTGTGCACACTACAGAAGGTGCTTTGCTTTCAGAGAGAAATGAGCTCTGCCAAGCACCTTGGCTCTGCTAGAGTGTGCTCCCTCCAAGATAATCATGTGACTTGAAAGACAGTGTAAGCATGGCCTCTGATTCAAAAGGGATTTTTCATTGTAAAATGCATCTAAATGCCTGCAGGCTGACAGCTCTCCATTCCCTAACACTGTCTYGTGAAGCAGCCCTTTACAACATAATCACACATATGTCATTGACCTGGTGGGGAATTTTGAATTAATGTTTGAAGAGGGGCCTGCTTTTCAAGTGGAAGTCGTAGGACTGGCACTCCTGGAACATTTTCTTTTAAATATGACAGATTCCAAGGGATTCAGTGGGGATCTTGTAGCACTTTCCTTTGGGAGGGCACTTAGATAAAGCCCGAGCTGCAGCAAAGCTGTGGAAGTTTCAGCCTCGTCAGCTGCACCGGTGATGGAGCAGAGTTGCGGCTGCAGCTCTAATCTCATCAGTCTGAAATCAATTAGTAGGGTAATTGCAGCAGTGCACGCTCTGGTACAGCTGGCGTTGGGCCCATCTGTGATTCTGGATGCTTCATTTGCCAGAACTTGGGGCTGCTGAAACTTCCCTGCTGCCAACAGCCAGGGCTGAGCTGCAGCTGCCCCATGCCCCCAGCACAGCAGAACCTCTGCCCCAGAGCAGGAATCCTTCCCTGCATGCTCCATCCAGAGCAAAGGAGCACAAATGCAAAAATGTTCGCTGGCATCCTCAGAGGGCTTTGTGCTCTTAGGTCTGCAAAAAGCAACTCGAAATACACCTTAAACAAACACTTGCACGGGGCCCTCAGTTCCTGCGCACTGTAAGCCATGCAAAGCACCCAAAACACGTTGCTCTGTGCAGCTGGGCTGAGATTCCTGCCCAGGATCCCCCCTGCCTTTTCTCTGTGCCACTTCATGCATGTACCATTGCCTGCTGCTGCCACACCAGCATTCAGCCATGTCCCTGGGGACTCAGAGGAAGGGAAATTTGTGGGGAGACAGAAAGCAGCAGAACAGAACAGGTTTCTTGCAAGTTGATGATGTCAACTGGATTTGAGAGGAAAATGTATGGTTTGCTCTTCAGAGCTTAGGAACCTACCGTCCATACAATAATTCAAATTAAGTAATCTGTATGAGATTGTTTTACAGCTGCTCAATTGCACAACAAAAGRCTATGATGGCTAAAGGCAGGCATAAAAATGATATTAAGCTAAACATTAACCATAATGACTAATAAATGTGTTGTAATATGGAACCTTTTCATGCTGTTGATACCAGTTTTGAATTGTATCTAACTCAACTASGCAGTCTAGGAAGCAATAAAACTCCAGTGGGGCTTGCATGGGAGAGAGTGATAGAAGCAGGAGCATCAATTTGTATGAAAAATGAGCCCGTGGTTTGTGTCCTTGCTAGTGCAATAGGCTCCAACACGCAGGCCTAAATGACCTGCCTGATGACACACTCGTTCCTGGAAAATTACTGATGTTCTGCAAGGTGAAAATGGCTATTAACAGCAATGAAGTGTCTGCACTTAAACCTTCTCTGCTGCCTCCATGAGATTAGCATAAAGAGGAAGACTTAGAATAAGGAGTGAATTTTCAGCCTGGGTTAAGCAGATGGGCTAAGCCAATGCTCTGTTTTAAATCGTAAAAGMCATCTTGGGCTTTGATGAGATTTTTTTCGTTGCTGTAATACATTTTATTGGACCAGCTGGTATAATTGGAGAAAGCACACAAGCTCTTGGGAATGAAAGCCCTCCTCCTCATCTGAAACAGAAGCAGCTGCGCTGCACTGTCCCCCATAATCTCAATAACAAAGCTGTCTCTGCAGCAGGGTTGGAGGGCAGGGAGGCAGCTGAATATATCAGGGCCTGGAAAGATTACAGCAAACAGGCAAACAAAAATCTACAGAGAAATGCCAACAGATGTGTTTTAGTTTGAAATCAAGAGCATTTAAGAACAGAGAGCGGGATTCACCAGCCTGCTTTTAAATGTGGAGTAGCTGCTCTAATAACTTCTGAAGGCAGCCACCATAGCCATGATAATGGCAATTAGAAGAAATTAGGTAGAAGCTTTGTGTGGACACATCAGCAAATCTGGAAAAAATACAGCCATTCACATGTACACAGGGCTATGTCAGCCCTCCAGGCCTGTTTTGTGGAGGCAAAAGATCATGATTGGTGTCTCCAAGGAATAACTCAATTCATCTAGCTGAGATGCCTTTCCTAAAATGGGTGGGAACACTCCCCAGAGAAGTTCCTCCACTAATTCTAGAGGGAGTCTTGACCACAAATTCAGACAAGACATCTTACATGTGATAACCCTTCACCTGAGCTGATGCCACCCTTCAGACACAGAGATCAGCTATACCCTGACCCATTTTCTGAGGGCCATTATCACAACACCCCTGTTGCCCATGCAATAATAAGGATGCCTCAAGCACACTCACCGCMTCGTCTCCCAGAGCTGACTTCAGGCTGATGCGCACTTTGATGGCATCGTCAGAATCTGGTTTAAAAACAAACAAACATGTTAGAGCTGCAGCAACAAAAAGTCTGTTCCTGGGAAATGTGGAGGTAGTTTAAGTTTCTTTACAGGTTCCCTTGCTTCCCTTGGAGAGCTTGGTGGGACTGACTTCGTTTCATTTCAGTTCCTCTACTGCAAACACACTCATCTGAGCTGCCAGTTCCCAAGTCTGCTTTTGCAGCAGATACGAGGAAAACCCTTCTTTCCCACCCCTGGGAATGAGTAGCTTAGATGCAGATGCTGGTGCCTGTTTCGGTGAATCCCACTGTCAAGAGACTGGCACAGGGCTCTGTGGTTATGGTGGTCCCCAGCACTGCCAGTGATTACACTTATATAACCTGGCTGGTTCATCACCCAGTGTCACAATAAGCTGAAAAATGCATTTTTCCACAGTGTCCTCCTTTTCCTCCCCTTGAGCTCCCTTCTTTGACTAACAGAGATCAGCAAAAAGCACAGTAGTATTTTTTAGGTCTGGTTTGCCCCCACACCTGGCTGCCAGTGGCTCYCAGCCTTGCAATACAGGCTCACTGCTCTCAGGCAAGTGCCACACAAGACCAAGCTCCTGATCTTTCTTCTGTCCATAGAGTCATCCCCCACTGAGTGCTGTCATTGTGAAAAAAAGACACCTCAATTTCTGGAACTGAGTGGGGATCTGATAAACAGTGTGCTGACTTCTCCAGCTCTGGCCATGAGGAAGCCATCCTGTCCTCCAGGGAGTGAAACTTACAGCTCAATGTGTATTTCCCACAACACTGCTTTTCTAGGGAGACCAGCCTCCAACAGCCACAAGAGAGGGGGACTTTGCTAATCAAGGGCTTTGAAGACTAACGAGAATCCTTAAATCACCCACAAGCCATACTTACGTGGAGCCCAGTCCGTTTTCCAGCCAATGAATTGGTCAGAATTGGTTTTTTTCAGCCACTCATATAAAGGTTCAAAGTAGTGGAGCAAGGGAGCTGCATTCATGTATTTTTCTCCTGTTACACTTTCCAGTGCTTCAGTCCAGGGCTTGGATCTCCCTAATGCCAGCAATTTTCTATGTGGAATGACAAGTAATATTTATTATTTCATGTTCCATCTACACCAGCAAAACAATTTGTGATCAGTATAAAAGTGTTCTTTTTTGCTTCTGAATTCCCTCCTTTCTCCCATAATTCCTATTAATTAAAATATTTCATTCCCACAAAAAAAAAGTAATTAAACCTTTGATGTTTAGAACCTTAGTGTAAATAAATTTAGTCAACATGTCAAAATGAATTGAGCAAGTATATGCTAAATTTTCAGTCTAGGTTTATTCTTGCTGCAACCTCATTGAACCCCAGAAGCTTTCAAGGATGGCTTAGACTTTGTTATACTCTGATTTATTACATGTGAGAAATTTGCTTCGTTACCTGAGTTTCTGACCAGCTGCAGTGGAGTTGGTAATGTCACATTTGTGAAGAGGGCCACTATGGTTGGCTTCCTTGCAAAGTGCCTCCTGAAACTGGAACTGATAGATGGTTCGGGTATAATACCTAAAGGAAGGGCAAGGAAAAGGGAGGCACAGGTTTTATTTGTTGTCTGTCAAGGAAACCTGCAAGCCTTCGGCCTTTGGAAAGCTCTGCTGTGTCAGCCATCACTCCTGCCTGGGAGCCTGCACGGCGGTGAGAGAGGCCAGCTGATATTTATAGGTTAAGCTAACTCAAATTTAGCAAAATACCAAGACCAAATGGACCAGAAGAGCCCCAAATCTGTTTGTTGTCACATAATTCATGAGAGAGTAAAGTTTTTGAGGTCCAGCTCTGAGCCCTGGCTGAGCTCCCTAAAATGAGGTGACCAGGACACAGAGGGACATCCAGGGCTGGATGTGCATGGCCCAAGTGACACAGGGCACAATGACTCCAGGAGACAAACATTTCTTACAAAAGTGTTGCGGCTGATTTGATGGCAGCACGAAACTTTTCAGCAAGAAGCTCTGAGCTACTCACTGCTCAGAGATTATTATGGAACAACCCCTGATGTGCACAGAAACACTCCCACTGAAATCAGCAACCTCCAGTCTGGGCTTTAAACAAAATAAGATTGGGTCCTGCTACTCTCCAGCAGGTGTTTTAGGTAGCTGGGGCTCGTTCTGTAGGCAGAACTTAAGTCATGAATTACACACTGCACTACCTTATGAAGGAGTAGTCATTGGCCACGTGAAACAGCGCAGCGGGGTCACAGTAGGTTTCATCATGAGGAACTGGTTCCACAACACCAACTATTTCTCTCCTGGAGATGAAGGAAAAACACAGGGTTTCTGTTTATAGACAAAAGGAAAGGTAATCTGACTCAGCTTTTCTTGCTTTGTCTGATACATGTGGACACCTCTCTCACTTCCAAAGAGGAGAATTCCACACAGCTCCCAGTAACCCAAGAGAGTTCTGCTCCACAGCTGGAGACCGCAGAGAGGAAACTGCCTGGAAACTCTCAGAGCAAGGAAGGGATTTGTATGCCAGCAGGGTGTGCAGGGAGCATTTAATAYATATGAAATAATCTACAAGACATGAGCTTCACACACACACCTCGTGCCCTGGGCCATCTTTGTTTAGAGACCTGCATTTTTGTTCTGGGCAAGTGCGTGCAGAGACTGGGCAACCCAAAAGGTAGATGGCCTCCTGTGCCACTGTGCTGGAGATGAACTTTCTCTTCATTTTCCTCTCCTGAGACTGTGTTTCTGAGAAGTACTATAGAAACAAACCCATGCCTTAAGTTCTGAAAATGGTAATAAGTTTCCATGGCAGTATTTTTCATAAACCTGTATTTCAAGCAGAGAGCTTTGCAGTGCCCCTGCAACAGATGTGATAAGCTTCCCTGAACAATTTGTCATTCTCTGTTTCTCTGACATCTCTGCTACTTTTGAATACATTGAAGCTGATTGATTTTTACAGTGGGTCAGGAGGCTTGCATATATCAAGTTTTATTATAGATTCTGTTTGCTGATGGAGGCTTGCTGTTCGTGTTCGTGTTAGAGTTCAGGCTCCATTTTCAGTGTGGGACTTGTGTGGTTTCTCTGCATTACTCAGCTCTCCTATTATAACCAACCTGGGAAATTACAAGCTCCAGCCTGAATCATACTGATTTTTAATCTTGAACTCCAAGGTGCTGAAAATAGACTGATTGATGGGCATAATCTGAAGAGGCACCTCTGGCTGTTACTTGCTGAGGGAACTGTATTTTCTTTACCAAGAAAGGTGGTACCTTATCAGAAGGGAAAGATTCAGTCTGAAATCYTTCAGACTGAAAAGACTTTGCCTCCAAAAGCACCACACATTTGAGTGGAAACACAAAGCAGGGAAGTGTGCTCAGATGTTTGGTGGTTCCRATCTGCATGCTTTTCTGGCTGGCAAATACAAGGAGCTTCACTTTCCACTTGTCCTTAAGGATGTGGGGAGGAAACCAGAGAGCACGACCAAAGAGACTTAGAGAAGGGCTTTACTTGAGCCACGACAATGTCAGGGGGACAGCAATGCTGATCTGGAACATGGCCATGGGCTGTCTTTATTGACATTAGAAACAGGGAGAAAGTCTTCTGAGAGGCAGGGTAGACTGCTAGGGGCTGCACATAGAGTTAATGGGGATAAATGCCTTATGAAAYGTTGTCTGCATCACTATTGAGTGTTTCTAGCTGGCACTCCACTGGGATTTACAGAAACACCCAAAGAGACAGATCCTGCCCAATGGGAGCACAAGCATCTCAGTATGTTGAGCAACTAGGGCTGGGTTTGCAAGTTCATATGAAAAAAAAAAAATCCCCTTTGTTTCTCAAACTTACTTCATCTCCCACCACCGCTTGGTCCATTCCTGCTTTGTGATCTCACCCCTGAACACCATCCACCTCCACTTCTCCAGCATGTAAGTAAAAGGCATTGTTCCAACAATYGTTAGTGCTTGTTTGAGCAGAAAGTTGATTTCGGTTTCTGAAGAGAGAAGCAGTTAAGGTAATGGTTATGGCAGCAATTAGTATCTGATTAGATGGCTAAAGTTGCTTCCCTTTACAGCTAATGCTCACATCTTGTTTGAATTACAGATTTTCACTAAAGAAAAAGTGGAARGAAGAAAACTACTGAAAAAAATCATGAGATCACTTAGGAATTGTACACAGTTTTGTCTTTCTTTCTTTCCCCCAACTTCTTAAGTAATGTAGTCCTTTGACATTTACAACTACCCATCACCAAGAACTTTCCAGTCTCTGGGGAATTTTGAGCTGAAGACATCTTAAAATATATAAATAKATAAAATGTATAAAATGTCCATCTTCATCCATCTAAGGCAGTACTCAGAAGCCAGATAAACTGCATTAAAATGAGGGCCTACCTATGCTGTCACTCAATCATTGTCATTTAAGTGGGAGATGTAAATCTCAAGGTTTCAGTTTCATTTGAACTGCTAAATGCATGTCTTGATAGAGATACCTACAGATTCATGCAACAAAGATTGAAAGGGGTTTTGGAGACTCACCTAAATGAACTATGAAGATTTAAGGATTAAGGTAATGAAGTGATACCTATTTCTTTTTAAATGACATAACAGCATTCTAAAGTAGTGATCCTTGCTTCACAATGTGATTTGGGGAAAAAATAGCATTTCTGGTAAATTATGGGAGTAGGATTTTCAGATTTTCAGAAGCCTGTCAGTTGATTGCTGAGTTTGTAGGCACAATCTTCCACTACAAAATAAGGCCAGCAAGTGCTTTCACATAAATATATAATATCAATGCGTTTATTTACCTTCATCATCTTGGAAGGTGGGCTCTAGGAGATCAAGAGATTTCAAGTGCTGAGGTGTGGCTGCAGAAAGGGACATAATTTCTCCTACAGCCTCGTGGAAGCCCTCGTTGGCGCCGCTCCTGAGCAGGTAGGGCTGCACCGCGTACTCCATGTCGTACTCAATGTGGCCCATCTCGTGGTGAGCGGTCAGGAAGTCATCCATGGTCACTTTGGTGCACATCTTGATCCTGCACACCAGAACAAAGTGTTTGTGCCCAGAAAGAGACCGCCTGAGCCATGGGGCAAAGCCCCTGCAGAGCTTGCAAATGCCCCTTGTCCCTTGCAAAGCTTGGGCAGCTACATCCTAGCATGCAATGCTGATCCTCTTGCTACAGCCAGGCTTCAAGGGCAACTCAGGAAAACACCTTCAGCCACCTTGAAATTGTCCAGGGAGTAAGAGAAAACTGCTGTTTGGTGAGAGCAGCYGTTCCCTAAAAGCTGGTGATAAACTCACCGTATGTGTGGGAGCGAGAAACCAACACCAATCTCAGGAAGACCGTAATGTATAAACTCTGTGGGCTGGTGACCTCTGCTACTTCATCCTAGTGTAGCTACTATTTGCTAAAGGAATTTCTTCCAAACAGGGTTTCTTTTCACCTTCCCCAGACTGTTGAGGTGTGACACTGATGTGTTTTGCTAAGGCTCTGCTGGGCACCACCTTCTCTCCCTGGGGACTGCAAGAGGGGACAGAATTTCTGCGACAAGTATTCACTGTGTATTTGCTGTCCCACTTCTTCCCCAGATATGGAGGAGACTGATAGATTTTCACAAAATTGGATAATTCTGCTAAAGATAGACAATGGGCTCTCAGATTTCCCCTTGCTACCCAGGGATCCGCTGCCATTGCTGCAAAATGTGCAGCACAAATCTTCACAAATCCCRCTGGTATCCACCTGTATTTCTGCTTATTCCTGAAGCCCTAGAACACAGGCATTATTTCTCTAATTCATGTAAGTATTAGTCACTTGTCTGCTAAAATTTGAGAGTAGATCTTGAGCAGATCTACCAGTAAATTTGAGTAGATCTTCACAGAAGAAGGTTTACAGTCCCACGGGAACCCTGCTCATCTTCCTCACCCCTCTTATCAGACAGGGAAAAAAAGGAGAAAATATAACTTAAACCAGCATGGTGATTCTTTAGTGAAAATATGTTTGTTCTAGGAGGTGGTATAAAAAGGGGTCAYAGCAATTTCAGTACCTGTAATCGCCTCTGCCCAGGTCCCACGCTGTAGGATGGCAGACAACCTTCCTGTTGTCAGTGGGCTCTATGAGCATGGAGTTTGCCCAGAAGCCCTCAGTCATGTTTTTAAGGCCAATGGAAACAAAGAAGGCCTCAGCAGCTTCGAATATTTTAATTGCATCCCATTTCTGAAAGAGACAATGCCACCATCAACCACTGCTTGGAGCCTGTTCCCAATGGCCTATTTAATGCAGGGCAGCTGACTTTATTTCCCAGGAGCTTCAACCCCACACCTGGCCTACTGAGAGTAACACAGTGGTATCTGCCTTTGGCACTTCTGTTATTTCTGCTGGGAACTGGAATTAACTGTTTTCCCTGCAAGAAAAGTCAGTTTCTGCACTCAGAGTTTCAGCAGATAGCACCTGACCCACATCAGAGAAGCTCTCAATAAAAGATGAAGTAAGATAAAAAATGCATTCCGGTCAGTAGTATGTCAGATCTGGGATCCAATCCTTCAGCCACTTCAGCCAACCTGGGACAATGCATTTGAGGAAGTGGAGCTGCATTCCCAGCAGATGAGAATGAGAGATTCCAGCCAGAACCATAAAGCCTGGCAAATCTATCTAGAGGAGTGGCTTATCAGATTGTAACTGCACGGTATTGTCCAGGATAATTTTGCCATTCACCAGTTTTATTATTCGACCCAGCAGGAGCTCTGCACTTACAGGACTGAGCTCTCACAGAGACCTGGCTGGCAAAGAGCTCATCTGGGTGAAAATCCCAAACTGGACACACCCACCAACAAGGATCAGCCCACCCACYGCCCCAAGGCTCTGCAAATAATGCTTCTCTTCTTGCAGTGGTGCTTTAGCAGGCACAAATTTATGACTGCAAGGGGGTCAGTAGTGTAAAACAGAGGTGAGAATTATGCAGACTTAGGCAAACTGCTAATGAATCAAATTCAACTATTCCCTCTCTTACCAGCACAACATTTTCATGGRGTGCTGCCTATGAGAGGAGAGTAGATTTCAGATGAATAATTGCATCTCAGAAATCAAATTCCACCTATCACTCTTTAGTTTATAAAAGGAGTGTGGCTTTTGCAAGACTATAGGGAATTATCCTCACCCATGTTCTTGGTCTGGTAAAGGTGCTGTCACAGCTGTTAGCTCCACAGACCTCAAACACAGAGCTCATGGTGCTGTGCAGTTATCAAAAGACAACAGCCAGCATTGCAGTTTCTCTAGCTGCATCAAAGTAAACAAGCTGACAAAAATAAACTCTGATATACAAACTATTTGATTATGGTCATGAGTGACAAAGGTCATATTTGATACCAGTCAACTTCAGGAGTCCTGAAATATTTATAAGTACAAAATATATCTCTTAATGGATAAATGTCTCTGAGGGAAATAGACTTGGAAACAAGATTAAGGGAGTCAAAGAGGGTGGAGGAAAAAAGAGAGAGCAGCTAAGGGGACAGGTACAGTGAAAAATGCATAAACACTTTGAGGTGAGAAGTAAAAACAAGGATTGAAAAAGCAACGCTTTGCTGGCAGTGTGCCTGCCTGAGGGCAGCCATGGATTTCTAGAGAGCAGCTGATATGTGGTGCATAATTTTTATACCATCTAGGTTTGTTAYATAATGCATATTGCATAAAGGCATGTCTTACCTTGTCAACCATTGCAGAAGTTACATCAATGTTCGGTTTGGCTGGATAGGGAACAGTCAAGGCATACAGATTGGTCCAAAACCTACCCCACATATCACCTTCGTAAAAACACAGAAACAAAGAAATACTTTAAATTATTTGTTATGTATTCCTCAAAGGTGCCAGACATTGCTCTATAAATTGTGCAGTGTCAAAAATACATCTACATCCTGTACCTCTAACCAGGCCTGATCCAGATGTGGAGGGGAGCAGTTCTGGAAGGTTATGCATAGGTCAAACTTAGATAAAGGATCCTTTTATTACCCAGTATCAGCTATTCTTGCACAATATCGTTTCAGGACTGATCACATTCCTGAAGGTGCATGCAAACTGAACATTTTGTTAGTGCASATGATTGTTGTGCCGTGCTCAGGCACACAACAGTCGCAGCACTGTTGTGCTGCGTGCTTTGAAAGCCAACTCGTGAAATGTAGGATCTTAGAGTAGAATTTGAAAGGAAAAACAAGTCTCTCTGAAAACCTCATTTCTAAGGAAGACAAGTGCTGCAGAGGGGAGGGAAATGTCCCAGCCCAGTGCCAGAGTTTTGTGCTGTTGGTGAGGATGAGAACAYTTGCCTTCCCTTCCCACCACTGCTGCTAAACACTTGTGTCACCTCTGCTAGGACTTTATCCATTTCTCCTCTCCCCTTCTCTAATCTGTAACCATTTTRTTAATATCCCGATTAAACAGATTACTCTCCTCCCACGTGCCCTGRAGGTGACTGTCCTGTGTGTAAAGTCAGGTTTGTGAGACCTGGACACGTTGACATACCCAGCAAGTGAGCAGGGAGGCATCCTGTGGGGTTGATGAGCTCGGGGCCATACACCTGCYCCAGCTTGTGTCTCACGTAGGCGTGCAGCTGCTCGTACAGAGGCTTTATCTGGAAGCAGAGGAAGAAAAAGTGATTTTTTCACTTTGCTCTATTCAGCTCGTCTCTCCTAAACAGAGAGCCTTGAAGCTGTTTCTGACCAAATTCTCCTGGCAGGTGAGTGCACCCCAAACCTGCAGCTGAGCTCTGCCCCTGCCTCAGGGCTCCAGCACTGAGTCCAGGTTCCAGCCGCAGAAGTCCTGCCCAGCTCTGAGGGAGGGAGCATTGCTAACTTTAGAGATGGAGTATTGGGGATGCCATCTACCCTATGGGAAACCCCATGGACCCCACCTGGAAGAGAGACCCACAGAGCTCCCTCTTTCCCAGCCTTTGGGGACCAAGCTGGTCCCTGAATGGCTGCAGAGGTAGAAATGTTCATGTGTGTCTCCTCACATCTGTTTCTGTTAAACCCACGTAGACTCAGATCAGTTTTGGAGCAGGTTTCACCTCCCTTCACAACATCAGYATGTGAGCCCACCCTTTCAAAACACAACCCTGCAACCCAGGTGAGAGCCTTTCCTGCCTCTACCTGCTCAAATGTCTTCTCCACATCTTCAATCAGCTGGTCACGGCTGTATTTGTAATTTTCTGGAGACTTGGCTTCATAATTTGCTCTCCAGTAGTCTCCATAGTCAGAATAATCTGTAAAGCATGGATGCATCAAATGAGGACACCACATGCAGCACTGCTTAGGTCTGCAGCAGAAGTGCAGCTCCCTGCAGATCGCATGCAGACCTGCAGCCTTCCCCCAAAGCAAAGCAGCAAAGTCTGAGATAGTTTGGGCTCAGCAGAGAAGAAACAGCTTCCCTGAGGGTCTGTGTCATGAACATTCAGGTACGAGAGGTTCCCAAGAAATTCAGAAATTGCAGTCATGGTTTTCTGCTAATTAGGGTTGTACTGTCTGGAGATGGGTGTCAAAGGAAATTGTGAATCCTGACTGGAGCTCCTGCAGCTATGAGGGACAGCAGCCTTTGCTCAGGGCTCTCACAGAAGGTATAAACTGGGGGACAATGAGTATGAGCCCCCTCTTCCAGAAACCAAACCACCAGGACAGATGTAAGCACCAGAAGTGGAATTCAGATCCCAGTTCCACTTTTTCCAGTCCATTGAGCTCTATCAAGCCTGGAGGAGAAATGGCTCACAGCTGAAGTCTCTTCCTTAGTGGTATGGAGGAAGSCCATCATGACCATTTCTGAATGTTGGCTTTTTTCCCTGTCTAACTATCTGGACCATATTTTCTTATCTAGCCCCAGCTGGACAATTTTTGCAAAACAAGGAGCATAGGAAAGCAGTGATACAGCTGCAGTCTGGCCAAGAGGCAGATGATGTAACTACTTCAGAACCTGTCTTAGAAGACTCCAGGAAAAAAACAGAAAACAACTGCTATTATTCTTGAAAAGACAGTTCCATATGATTTGTGTGAAGATTTCAAACTAGAAGCATGCTTCCCTTAGGACAAAATCCTTTTTGAACATCCAGCTGTACCTGCTGTCCCAGGCCCACCAAATTTGATCATTCCAGTTAGGGAATAATGCTTGTAAATGTACCAATGACTGTGGCTGCTGCAAGAAGGTCAAGGCCCATAGGAAAGAGATGTCACCAAAACTCAGCAGCACTCAGAAGTTGTTTAAATGGATGTGTTTGTCCATAGACTACACATGGTGCAGTTCTGGGTGGTATGTAATGGGCACTGATATATTATGGCCTTTGGGAAAAGTGTCAGCAATGAAGGGTGACAACAAAAAGGTGCCTCTTGTTCCATCCAGGCTGGTAAGAACCCTCTGAGCTGCTCAATGGCAGCTGTCTGCATCGCCTCTTACTTTGAGACATGAACACCAAGAGCAAATGAGGTATGTGTTTTGAATTCCTGGGAAAATTGTGTAAGACTGCATTATGTTTACTAGCTTCCGGAAGCCAGAAGGACAAAAAAACCCCAAAAAAACCCACCAAAATTAAAAAAAGTGACTTACTGTTCAGCCTTGCAACCTCATTTTCAAGTTCAACATACTCTTCATATAATGGTCTCATCATTCTGCCAACATCAGCTCTCCAGCCTTCCCAGGCCCACAGTCTCTCATGRTAATCAGTGCTGTCAGCCATAATAGCATCCAGACCTGTCAGAACAAAAAAGGAAGTACTAGGCTTTGAAAAAGCAGAATTTTTCTTYCACAGCAGGCAAACGAACCCAAGTGAAAGAAATGTCATGAAGAGAGAAGAAAACACTTTGTAATTGATTTACTGAAATACCCCATTATTTCATTGCATCCTTTCCTAATTTAAGATTTTCCCCTTGTGTTCAAGAAGAGTGGAGCACATCATGAGTCTCTTAAATTCTCTCTCCACATCAGCTTCCCTTAAGCTGGTAGAGTTCTCAGGACTGGCTTCAATGTAATATTGAGTCCAACAAGACTGATGTCAGGGAATAAAAAATCAGATTTTCTATAATACAGGCAACCCCCAGGTGACAGGCAGGCTGGCACACAAGCTGAACAGCTCTCCCCAAATTTTGTTTTCTACAAGCAGGAGACACTATGTCTCATGGGCAGAAGGTCCAAAGGAGGTCCCTGAACTGCAAGGTGCAATTAAATTATGACTAAGCTTTAGATAGCAGGAAATAGCTACTGAAATTACAGCCTGTTCTTTTGCAGTCAGGAGCCACCCTTGGGCTTTCTCWTTTTGCACCCTCAGGGTGAAGGACAGAGTAGGGGCAGTGGTTGGTGTCATACCTGGCTCCAGCACCAAACACTCAGATGGATTGTTGATTTTACAGACGGTCCCAGTGCTGTAGATGGTACTCATGGTATTCAGCACAGTGCCCAGCTGCAAGTTAGATGCAAGATAGCCTGTTAGAAACCCACTCTGTGCAAAATAACAGCCAATTATGCTAATTCCTTAAGAGCTAGAATCAACACTTCACCCACCAGCTTAATATTTAAGCATATGTTTGAGCTCAGTAGAGATTAATGAAAGAATTTGCCTAAATGCATTASTGAACCAGACCTAGCTGGAAAAGACAGATAATCTCCCAAATATATGATGTAATCTACAGGTTCTTAACATCCATTCAGACAGAGCTCTGGATTTAATGAGCACTGACTGTCATGAGAGAGCCATCAATACACAGCAGCAATAAAAAAATAAAGYTTAGCAATGTGCTTCCATAAGCACGAACCCACATAAACTTTCCAGGGAGGTTGTGGCTTTGAGTGGCAGCCAAAAGGGCCCCTTCTGCAGGTGCTGCCAGGCTGACTGCTGCTTGTGGGTTTTACCATCAAATCACACTGATTGCATGGATCTGCTTAGACTCCATTGCAGAGAAACTGTGGCTCATGTTTGGGGTCAAAATGCTTCTGAAATCATTCAGCTCTATCTCAGAACCTATGCTACATAGCTTTGTTTTAAATATTTTTTAATGTTTTCACATTTTCATGCCTCAAGGAAAACAACTTTTAGCTTTTCCTTTAGGACTATGCAATTTCTCATTTAGAGCTTTAAATSAGAGCTATGAAGACCTCTCAGTGGGAGGGGTAGTTAGTGAGTAGCTCTAACTTYTATCTCTGTCAGCATTAAAATAAATGGGTGCCCAGGGAAATAATTGTATCAGTKAAGAATACTTAAATATTCCTATGGACTCCCATCAGACTCTATAAAAAGGTCACTTTTCAAACATAAATCAACAACTTCAGCCCCAAAGGCTATTGTCTAGGAAACTCTGAGTGTCTAAACAGGGAGAGTACTGAAGAACATATTCCTCAACAGGGACAACATCACCATCAGTGCACTATTGTGATCCAAAATAAGTGAAAGTTTGTATGAACTGCCAGCATTYCCACCAATACAATCTGTTTTCCAGAAATTCATCTTATTTGGATCAGACAAGAGATCCAGCCAACCTGCTGTTTCMCCTGCATGGTGGTTATCACTGCTGCCCTGAGCAGAAAAATCTCAGAAGGATCCTTCTGTAATCAGGCCTGTAGGATCCTGGACTGTAGGTTCCCATGACTCAGTGCCATGTTCTGATCTTCAGCAGAAGGAWAGTAAATTAACTCTCAAGTGTCTGGTTATAAGTGTTTGGTTATAAATCTTTTTTGAGTCTGCACAGCTGCTCACTCCAATTTCACATTTAATCATCATTCATATACCTGCCTCTTAGGTGAATTTGTCAGTGCAAATGTCAAATCTCTTTATGTTTCTTGCCAAACCTTGCTGGCCTTCAGCAGCTTTCTGTGGAACTCTCCCCGTTTTCAGGCATCCCAAAGTGCCCACTCCAATGAAACTTTCCTTCTGTTTCCGAGTGGGATAATGTACCAAGTTAAGCAAAAGAAAGACTTCCTTCATCTCCACCTTTTTGACTCACTGAATGTTCTTTAACTCATCTCTTTCTGCTCCTTGCCCTAGGTCTGGCCCTCACCAAGCCCTTACCACATGTCCTTTCTTGATTTTATGGCTAATCCAGCCATAAGTGCAAGGACTGCTCTGAGGCGTGTGWATGTACWTGTGTTTCAAATTGATTCCATGGCAAAACTGCTGACTGAAATGAAAAAACAGCTTCCCAGGCCAGGCCACCCTRCAGGACTGCAGGGGAACACCTAGAGCAGGTGCACTTCCCTACCATACCCAGCATCACCCCAAAACAAGCAGGGTGGCGACAGCACCATGCCCTGGCCTGAGGGGATTGTGGGAGGCAGCTAAACTCACCCCCCCAAAAATGATCAACTACTTTCAACAACTTACCCTGTTGTATTTTTCTGGTGACAGCACAGATGATCCTCTCTCCTGGAGGGTCTGGATCTGCAGCTTGACGAGGTCATCCGTGATGCTGTCCACTGGGAAGCGGCTGGCGTTCCTGGAGGCCTCCTCGTAAAACGCRGACCACCTGGCGCCCGCCTCGCTCTGCAAGGGCCACAAAACCCTGAATTACCCCCTCCAGAAGTGTGGAGTGGCCTGATGTACTCAGTGGACAAAAATATCACTTCTGGGAAGATCTTCATTTGTGGAGAGCACCCGTGGATTGTGGGCCGAGCACTTGCACTGCGCGGTGAAATGGCTGGAGAGCTTTTTGGCTTTGTTTTGTTCTTACATCCAGGTAACCATTTTCCTCCGGGAGTAGCAAAAAGCATGACTGTCTACTCACACCTTGCTTCTTATAATTGATCCAGCATCACTTTGCTGTTTCTCCTGCTACTCTAAATCACCACATTTTCTTCTCTTAGTGTTTTTTTTCATTCCCGTGTGAAGAAACAGGGCAGGGCACATAGAGATCTGTGACCCAAAAGTCAATCCCCATTTCTGCTGCAGTAGCAGTAACACTCAGCACCAAGATATTGATACTGAGTCTGTTTGTAATGCAAATATCACTTTCTTCTGACATGCTGGTAAATAAGTGATTCTATTTGGGCAAACTAGGCTCTAAACTGATGCCCAAACTGGGCCTGCAAAATCTCAGKTTTTTTGCATGAGATTGCTTTTACAGTTACAGACCATGGCATGTGAAAATCCCAAATTTCAGTGCACAAAATAGKAGCATCAGAACACAACTTGGACTTGTAACTGTCTTATTTTCAATCGTGTTTGTACAAATTTTAGCACATCAGCACCCATTTCAAATGGCAACAAGAACAGTACTAATTAACCCGGGGACAGTACAAATTAACCTGGGTCCTTGGGACAGTTTGTTTAATTGTGCTTATGCCAGAGCTTCCCAGCTTGTGGAGAGGGCACCGGTAACACCCATCCCACCCTGCTGAGGTGTCAGGGAACACAAATGTCAAATTGAGCCTGGAGACCTCTTTCAGGCACACTTCTGTGTGCAGACGAAGAGCATTGCTCTGCAAATGTGTTCACGAGCTCCTTTTTCTGAGCAGAAACAGAGGAGCCTTAGGAGTGGCAGGGCAGAAGAGGGGGCTCGTTGGCTACAAAAGTCAGGGGAAGGAAATTACCTTGCTGTCTGATATTTCCACAATTAGGGGAATTGGTTGATAAGTCAGAGGAATAGTTGTAGGATTTGTGACATAATTTTCAAGGAAAACAGATGTGAAGGAGCCAGAAGGGACAGTATTCATTAACTYTCCTACAGCAGAATGGGAGGAGTGRAATCAGTGGGGTTATTACCAGTGCTGTGGAAGAGATCAAGTGAGAGAAAAATTTCTTTCTGAATGCTAGACTAATYGGTTTTTATTGCTGGTATCTCCTCATGTGTTTTATTATCATCTCATTAATGCTGAAAATACTATATAGGGCTTTCATTTTATGTGTTTGGAAACATTACAGTTTAAGTTTCTAGTGCCTTGGAAAAAAATTCCAGATTGACAATGATTAGTCATTAGGATTTCTTCCAGCAACCAGTCTCCTTGCTTTAATTAAGAAATATGATCATTAAAACAGGTTTTAATCAAGTTATATGACCACAAAGTGAAAAACCAGCCATTACACAAAAATAGATGTAGGATGTTCAGCTTCATTTTTACTCTCGGAATTGCTTTCTCAAAGGCTTGAGTTAACTTTAAAAAAAAACATGCAGCTTTAAAACAAAACAAAATTCAGCGTGGTTTTGTTCATTTTGCAGGCCTTTGAGCTTACAAGATGCTGAGCTGAGGCATGGCCATGTCAGGAACCAGCCAGACCGTGGCTGCCTGCTCTTGGCAAGTTCTTGCCTAGAGCTCCCTGGGCTGGGCAGCCAGAGGCTGGTGCTGAGAAAACTCTGCTGGAAGACAGCGTAAGGAAAAATGCTGTGGTACTTCCTGCAGACAGAAATGGACTCCCAATGCATGATACCACTGTACCAGAAACTCCATTGCTGGCATTWGTTAGTCTGTGATCTCATTTTCCCATTTAATACCTCCAGGCACTCTACCARCAGCCCTGACTTTGAGAAGAGTGATGGGGGCTGGGGGAAAGGTCCACCACCGGGTAACTGGTGTGGATCACTGTATAAATCCATCAGCAAACATTTAATGGAATGTCTACATCCAGAGAATATCTGCATATTCACTGAGAAGTAAAACAACTGCCGATGTCAGAAAAAAAGCCCGGTGTTAGTTTGGTCATAGGGAAAGAACCATAGGGGAGAACCTGAGTTCATGCCGATGCAAGACTCAAATCCTATTTCCTTGAACCACAGGGCAGCACCCCAGASCCTCAGAGAAGATCATCCCCTCCAGGATGTGCCCTCTCCAAGGAGAAAGGGAAACCCTGCAGAGAAACAATACACCAGGAGGCACTGCTGGTGTTGGACTCAACAGAAGAMAGMGTTTCTYTCCATTCAACMCAGATTTTAAGGATGAACATGCAGKGCTCCCTTCCCTTTTCTCTCCACTCACTGGGGTGACCTGAAGTGATGGCTAGGGACAGTCCAGCTTCTGGACATCCCTACGCAATGCAGGTGGTCCARGTCCTAACCCAAGGCTGTAGAGGCTGGTAGTGGCCCAGGCACACCCAGTGAGCATTGCTAAGTTAAAGTAATCTCCTCCCCCCTCCCCAAACTAAAGCACAGCTACCAGAGAAGTAACACTCCAATCCAGCCAAGCTTGGTGGAACCAAAACAAACCAGAAAGTGCCAGATTCCTAAGACATCAGTAAAACCTGCAGGATGGAGCACTTACCATTTTGTTGGCATTCTCCTCAGTGATGTTGGTGTTGTAGTCCCATGAGGCAAGGGAGTTCTCATAGCTGATATCTTCTGCCCTCTCGTTAAAATCTTCTAAAAACTTTTGGGCTTCTTGTGTGATGACATTCTGAGGGGTCACAACAGCACTCAGGCCACAGAGAAGCCACAAGTGGAACAACATATTCACATTCAGGATGAAAACCTCCCAACAAAGTAGGTTTTCTCAGGTGAGCTTCTCTGTTGGCCTCTGTCTCATCAGGCTTCAARCATGGCCAGCGTGAGGAAGAAAGGCTGAATCCAATTTGCTGGACCTTTTATAGGTTTTATTCATTATAGGAGAGAAAGGAAAAAGTTTTTTTTTATAAAAAGCCAAATAAACAAAAGTCAATGATTAACTTTGGAAAAACATAATTACTCCTGCCATTTTATGGCCTTCTTATAAAAGGCTTTTACTTTTGGTTAATGTTTCCCAAATGTGCTGTCAATGATACAGCTGGTCACTTTATCTATAGCCTACCCATGTCTCTGGTAGCTGAGAATCTGTCAATCCTTTAACAGACTGGTGATAAGCTGTAAAAATATTTAGAAACTTCACTGAGACACCAAGCTGAGAAACTTAACTCCCAGGCAGGAAGAAAACCCAGTTAGTCTGAGATAGGGTACCTGGCTGGGTGTTTGAGGCCATATTTTTAAAGGCTTTGCAAAACCCAGGTGGTTTGGGGAATAGGCCTCATTTTAGGGGCATATAAAACCTGAATTTTAAATGTGTTCACTGAGCCATCAAAAAGCAGCAAGAGACTTTGTGGGATCACAGCATCTTGTGTAGGGACCTGATCTGAACTATAAATCAACTGGATTTAAGTACTAAGGTGACTAAGGCTACTAAAGTGACTTCATCTTAATATTTAAATACCTTTGCTAATCTCGCTAGGAACCCAGCAGTTACTGCAAATCAATGGGAAAATCAATGCATGAATTAGCTCTGGAAATGCAGTTTGGGTTGAGTGCTATCGATTGGACAATGCCTTAGTACTTTTTAAATTAGCCTGCTTCTGCTCAGGATCACTTGGTTGGTTTTGTTCTGGGTCTTGTGGGGACTTTTTTTGAGATTCAGCTCTGAAGCYACATCCATGGGTTAGTTTCCTGTTCCCAGCAGAGTTTCTCTGAAATGATTGTGGTGGAGCTCCAAGGGAGCAGCAGGAATCAGCCCCTTCATTGCCAAACCCTGGAGAGGAGCTCCAGCCCTCGGGCTGAACCCAGCACGGCTTCAGCAGGGCCACCAGCAACAGGCATCTGGCAAGCACAGCCAGAGCCCAGGGACCTTGGGGAAACATCTAGCTTCAATATCTTGTGGTGCCCATGTCCTGTGGACCAGGAATGAGTGAACTCTGTCATCCATGTGCAGTCCTTTAACCATCTTTTKTTTCCAAGAGAAAGTTAACAGCATTCGCTCAACCCTTCCCCAGAGGTCATGTTCCCCACATTTCATCTTGCTCTTGGTGCCATCCAGATTTGCCCCATCTTGTGCTTCCTCAGCAATGGTGTCCATATCTGATCATGACTGAAACAGTATCRGTGATCAGGAACCCAATCCTTGGAGAATTTTACATGCAGTGCCTCTCTGATACACACCTTCCTCCTGGAGACATCTGTCAACTCATATTCCAATTGAGACCTTTCTGGTKCTTTTGCTCACCCATTCCCTTTTTTGTCTCTGTACACCTGGTTCTAGGGTAGCATTGGGAATTTGTCTGGGCTGAAGTCCATCACACTGATTTCAGACCATTTTTCAAAGTTTTATGATCATTTGGAAGTGTAATTCTTCAAAGGACTCCCTTGGCAGTACTTGGCAATGCCCAAAAACCTGTTAATAGATGTGTTTTCTTTTCTCACATCCAGATAATATGGGATACAGTAAGGCCCAGGAGAGGTATTAAAATGACCTCCCTTCCTGACTGAGAACCATGAAGCCTGTTTTCTAAGTAATTATGTGCGTTTTGTGATTCTTGTCTTGCCCATCGCTTCTCTGCTTGCCAGTGAGACTGTCATGGTGAAATAACGAAAGATTTTTGTGCTGTTGTTTCAGCCATTGTCTGTCAGAGCAGAGAATTATGTCTATTATTACCTTGATTTCTTTTTCTTCAATAGAGAACAGGGACTATGTTGACTCTTCAATTCTCCTATTTTCTCTTCTATGTTGGCAAGTTAATTGCACAATCACTGAACTGGGTACCTTTTAGGGTACTGAAACAAGGCTGGCTGATCCAAAATTCCTTTTTTACATGCAGGTATTGTTTTTCCCCCTTTCCAGAGCTCTTCTGCCTTCCCCAGAGGCAGCCCTGGTAGCTGTCACCTCCTTGCCATGGTACAGGAGTCACCTCTGCTCCTCACTCCCTCCTGCTGCTRCCACCTGAAACCCCAAGGGCTACATGGCATGACCAGGAGCCCCCAAATAGCAGGACACTCCTAGGGGATACCTTCAGGGCAAAGAAGGGTGTCACCTCGTTCTGTATAGGGCTTGCAACTGCACCTGCATTTAAATTTGTGTGCCAGTGATCTGAAAATGGAGCAGGCAGAGTCACGCTRAATCACGCTGCAAATTCTCAGCCCTGTTTCCAAGTTATTTTCCATTTCACACCTAAATGCAAACCTGGATACCATATCTGAGGAATAATAATTACAATAATTCCACTCCACCTTTCTTGCCACTGCCTTTACACAAAAGAGAAAAAACCTAAGCTGTGGGATGAATTAGCACAAAGTTGTGTTTTTAAAAACAGTGTTACAACAGCGAGGAGTCACTGGGCCTCAAGCACATCAAACATTCATGGATGGATTTGTTACTATTGAGCAGACAAGGGAGACAAGGGAATCATAGAATCATAGAATCCCAGAATATCCTGAGCTGGAAGGGATTCACAGGGACCATCAAAGTCCAACTCCTGGCCCTGCCCAGGACAGCTCCAAGGCTCACACCATGTGCCTGAGAGTATTATCYGAGTACTTTTTGAACTCTGTCAGGCTTGGGGCTGTGATCATTTCCCTGGGGAGCCTGTTCCAGTGCCCAGCCACCYTCTGGGGTGATACAGACTTGTGTCAGCTTTACTGCCATGGCAGGCTTTCTGCAGATGGGCCAGGCTCTTAGCTGGGTGTGATTTARCAGCCAGAGATGGTGATGGCCATCCATTCATGGGTGAGGAGCATTTCTTGTGCTGGACCTTCACACTACTCTGGAAAGGTGGTGAGAGCATGGAAATGGTTTGTACCACAGCAAAAAGGAAACAGCAAACAGCTGAGAAAGGGAAGGACACAAAGCCTTTTCAGGAAATTCAAATCCCCAAGGGCAGCAAGAGAGAAGCCATGGGCTTGGATGACAAGAGAAGAGCAGCTGGGCGTTTAAACCATGTCCCAGGGAAATCTGCTGCTGTGTGTGATGGCAAGCAGCCTGCTTGGCAGGAGCAAAGGGCTGTGTCAGTTTGTCACCGCCACAGCACAAAGGCTGCCTGGAACCCGACATGCTGGCACGGGCTCCTTCTCCTCCTGTGTGCCACTCCTCCCCTCCACCCCTCCCATCTGCCGTGGGAGCTGTGGCTCCCAGCTCCTACCTGATACTCCCAGTCYTGTCCCCAGGGTCCGAGCTGTCTGACATCTGCTTAAAGAGCTGCCCACCGATGTTCATCTGTACCCTGGCTCTGTTAGAGCAGTTTTCTGCCTCACCACTCATGTTGTTGGCTGAGCTGTGCTATGAAACTAGGACTGCAATAACAGAGAATTGCAGTTAGGACATGCCTCAGTAAAAACTCTGTGTTGTGTATTGGGCACCACACACCCTTAAAAGGGCTTAAAATACCATTATCAGAACATTTTTTCCACACAGGAGCGCTGTTTAAGCTCTCTGATACACTCTGTCATTCTCCTAGTGCATAGAAGACGGACAGAGGTGTGACTCAGTGGCCAGTGTGTGAAGATGGGTCTGAAGRGCTGCGGCTGCACGGAGCCGGGACCGCCTGGCCCGGAGCATCCCCAGGGAGAACCAAATGCCTGGCAGCCGCCCCTCTCTGCCACTCTGCCTTTTGCCGAAGAGCAGCTCACATCAGTAAATACCTGGCAAATCCTTGCTCTGAGGACTCCCGAAAAGTGGCTTTGTGGAGGCAGTGACCAGCCCAGGGGTRGCTTCAGCCCCTCCGCACATCTCCCTGCAGTGGTGCCTGGAGAGGGCCCCTGCTGCCCCGGCATCACCGGGGGACAATCCCCGATCCTCTCCCTCTTCCTCGTGCTTGGAACTGGGGGCTGGGCAAATAGTCCTTTTAATCCCCCGAGCAGCCCTTTTCCCACATGACTAACTCTTCTGCATGCGTGACATCCTCCTTTTCTCGGCTGAAAGCGCTCCCGCCGGTGCTGGCACTGGGATGCTGGCTCCCTGGCTCACCAGCTGCCAGTTTAGCCCGGGCAACAGCGGCTTTCCCCGTGCTGGGACACATCCCCGTCTGCCAGAGGAGGCTTTTGGGGGATGCTCGTGTCCGCTCTCTCGGGGCGGGGGGGACGGGAGCTGTGTGACAGCGAGGAGMGTTGGCATCTCTGCTCCTCTGCAGGCAGGCACAGCCTGTCCAGCTCGACATCTGAGCCACCAAAGGCACGGAGCAGCGCAGTCTCAGCTCCAGCATCAGCAGTTTGGGCTTGGCTGGCTCTTCCTCTGCAGGAACGAGAAAGGGCTGATTAGATTAATTCCCTGTTGCCAGCAGGAATGGAGGTAAAGGCAGCAAGTGCAAAGAACAGAGACTCCCCACTGCTGCCCCCCACTCAGGAACTCTGTCTCGGAGGGGAAGAAGCGAGGGGAGACTGCTGCTTGGAGACACCCACCTCCTGCAGCTGGTTCGACTGTCCAGCCACAGCCCAGTGACCTCCAGGRGCAGGGAGGGCTTTGTACCCCACTGGTCTGAGCCTGGGAGCAGTGCCCTGGACCACTAATCCTACTTCTCCCAAGCTTCCTGTCCCAAGACAGGCTGATTCACTCCCTGGTTTTGTTTCTCAGACCTAAAGAAAAGCTGTCACCTCCACACAGCTCCTTTGCACTCCAAGGCTGCCACAGGCTGGTGGCTGTTTCCCAATTTAGAGTGATCAGCATTGCCAAAGGGACAATGCCCCGTGCACAGGGGCCAGCCCCAGATCTGAGGACATCAGGAGCTGAACAAAGATGCTGTCAGTTTCCCGAAGCATCACGAAACCAAAGTGTTTTTGCAAAGTTTAGGAGAAAGCTTTGAAGCTGAATGATTTTCAGGCAGATGGGCGTACAAACTGGCAGGTTAAATCGGGTTAAATCACAGAGTGTTACTTTGAAGGCTACAATCAAAATCAACACCATATGTTACAGAGGCAGAGGGGAGAAAACCATTCAGGGGCACAATATTCTGCATTCCTTACACCTTGCCCTTTACAAAACACCACCTTGCCCAACAATGAAGGGAAAGATATTGATCCTGTGAAACACGGYTTTGCATCCAGGCAACGTGAGTTTCTCACTTCAGTTTTACTAAGTGAGTGATCCCGTTTCATTTTACAGTGACCATGTGTTTGCACATCACAGCACCTGCAAAGTTGTTTAGATACAATATCATCAAGAATGTTAGTCCAAAGTCTAAAATTCCTGTTGGTYCACAACTGATAAAACCTACATCCTGTAGCAATTAGAATTCAAATTGTAGGAGAGAAGCAAAGGTGATAGAGAAATAATGCCAGAACAGTATAGGCAGTTTCTCCAAAATTAAATGCTTTCCATTTAGGCATTGCTGTACATAACAAGATGCTTTGAAAATGTCAAATTTCCACCTCTAAGAGAAGCGAAAACATGGTAGGAAGGAAGAGGACAGATTGCAGAAATCAAACTTCACTTTTTTATCTCAGGTTGTACTGAACCTGTTTACTTTACTCAGAACAAAGCTGAATCTGGGCTATAAAGGTGAAATTCCTCCAGACTGATGCAAACCTCAACCCAAACACAAAATATCCAGTTAAAATGCAGGTCTGTTTGCAAAGTGCATCCACAGTGCTTAATGCACTCACAAAACTGAACATACTGACACATTTGTGCTGGCAAGAGTGTACCACTCATCACTGTCAATTGACTTTAGCTTTATATGATTTGAAAAATAGCAAATTCAGTCTGTCAAATTAGGCGTATCTAACTGTGCAAATTTTTCATTAGCGACAGTCTGTTTGCATAGGGAGCTGTGGTGTCACTCYGTTGCCCACATCCCTTCTTGCACGCCACATTAAAAGGAAACAAAAAACCATGAGAGACCAAAAAGAGCTGCTCATAGAAAGCCAAGCACAGATTGCTCATTGCTAATGGATTATGGACAGTTGGTCAATGTAKTTTCTATAAAAACTTGGTGTATTTAAAGCAGCTCATTTCATGAGTCACAGGTTACTGCACTGATGAACTGASCAAATTTCTGAGGGCATCTGAGCCATGTTTTAAGAGGATCTAGAATCACAGACTCCCAGTTTTCACTGTTATTTCACAGCTTTGTTGCACTTCTCCCCTGAGCTTGAAAGTAGTTCCTTTTGTTTACCCAAATGTGAGAGTTCACACATGAAAAACTCTTCCTGTCAAGATGTGATAACTTTCCTTACTTGGTCAAAAGTGGCACCCAGTTCTTGAAAGAAATTTTCAAAGCAGAAGCTCTTGTGCTAATATTGTGATTGGTATTAATTTCGGAATTATTTCATTCTCACAGTGATGAAGGAACAGGAATTTAACCTTTCCCTGAGGCTTCTTGAACTCACTTCACACTTCTCTTTTGTGAACAGCAGCAGAAACAATGGACTGACTTCCCTCAAAATGTAGAATAAAGGTGTAGAAAGGGTTTTCCATGAAGATCCGTGTGACAGAAGCAAATGTTGTACCTGCAGACAGACAGGAGCATACAGTCTGCATGAGGCCAGTGAGCTCATTTCCTCCAAGCTCTTCTGCACTGTCAGAGCCCCAGGGGAATACCAGGTCCAGTTGTGAGTACCAGGCTTCAAGGAGGGCTGAAAGAGATGTTTAGGGGTGAGTACCACAGACAGACTCTTTAYACCGACATTCTTCAGCACTCCAAATGTGTAGTTAATGACTGACAGTGTAAACAACTTACTCGTGCATGATTTGTGCTCATTCTCGTGCAGACATCAATGCTCTCTCTCAAGTAAGCTCAGTAGAACTGTAATGTCCTTTCTGAAATATCAACTTGCTGGGGATGTGGAGCTACTGATAAACATTGCAGATTTTCTTCAAACAGAACTTCTCTGGGTTTATTGCTTCATTTAATTGAATTCTCCTTTTTTCCTCTCTTTTCTCAAAGACAGCTCTTGAAAATGAAACAGTTCAGTCTTGGGCACACCATGTACCTTTTTTTTCCYAAATTCATTGGCCCAGTACAAATGTAACTGAGAGCAGAACCAACTCATTGTCAGGAAGCAGTCCACCATATAGTCTATATGGCTTGTTACTGACTTTCCTGTTTATTATTAAGTGTTGGATGCAGGTGGTTTATAAAAAAAAAAAGCAAGTGGGATTTACATAAAACATCTGGGCCAGATCCTCAAGGGATATAAATTGTTGTTGCACCATTTGCAGACTCTGGAGGACAGGCTGTACCAAATCAAAGTGTTCTTTGTTTTCTAATATGATCCTACTGCACAGACTAGAAAAGAGTTTTATTTCTTCTGTAGCACTGTGCCCTTGATTAACCTCATTTGTGGTACCTATTTCAGTGAAAGAGCTAATACCTACACTGACTTCAAAGTGTGGTATATRGCTGCTCATGTATCATTTGCTTCTCTCAAGCTCTTTTCTGTCAGCAGAGAGGCAAGCTAGATGTATGTTCTTGGTGAATCCTGTATCATCATTAACAGAAAATTAAATGAAACTGCTGTAAAGTAATTATGCAGCCAAAAGGTGAGCTGTAAGGAAGRCACTGATTAAATTCTTACACCACAGCCAGTCCACAGCGCATAATGTTTTGTTCATAGGCTTTCAACCTATTTTCAAATTGCTGCCCAGTGCCATGGGCTGAGCTGAACCTTCTCTCAGGCCTTGAAAAGGATGCTCAGATAAACTTGGCCCTTTTTCATGTCAAATGAATTTTATTTCGGTATCACATAGTACAATACAGATAGCGGCAATTCTTTATCTGTAGCTTGAGGTTGCTCTTGCACCACTGATCTGTTGTCACCAAAATCTTTCACAGGTTCCTACAGGGGTTCTGTAGTCACAGCGATCCATTGTGGTCACACTGAGGTGTAACTATCTCTCATACAGAGAATGAGAAAAGGGTGGAGGTTTAGAAATGATGGGATCTGAATTACCTCAATAAAACTTTGCCTGCATGAGAGACCTTGGAGCAATGACTGAGGCAGCAATAACAACACTATACTCTATATTTCCCCTCCAACACTGGAAAGCTCCATCTTTGACAGTCCTGTGAGAAATACATCCATATGTTGCGGATGGTAATTTTGAAGCACTGAGATATTATCACTAAGAAGTGACTTTATTAGTCCTTCTCAGAATGGAACAGCACACACTGGGACACAGAGACGATGCAGTCCTGGTCCAGAGGGACCCACCAGTAGGACACCAAAGACAACTGTGACAAATGAGACCATATGATGCAAATGATCAGTGGGTTCCATAGCTTTATTTTGCATTTAGCCTTCCACTCCCCTCCCTCTCCAAGCCTTGGGCTTCCCTGCCCAGCTTTCCCCCTTCACCCAGCTGCTTTCCCTTCTTCCCATTCCTCCCTTTCTGCTRACACCGATCCTAAAAGCGAGCACTGAGACAAATCGAAGGTGCTCAATACAACCAAAAGGCTGAAGGATTTTTACCCTGGGAAACAAGAAACCTTTGCACCCTTCAGGACACTGGATGGTCCTTTACAAGCAACTTTTACTCTGCTTAAACCTGTTCCTGTTGGTGAGTAGTCTGAAGAAATAATCCTAATAAACAAAGAGGTTTYCCAATATTGCCTCTAAACATGACCCTGGAAAAAGGATGGCTGATGGTCAAATCCTGTCTCCAGTGATATGGGCAGATGTTTGGTCACAGCAGGTATWGTATTTTGCTTCAACACATTTTCATTCTTTGTTACGCAGACACAAATATCCCATTTTCTGTGGACCGGTGCTTCTGAAGACAGCCAGAATTTTATCCAGGTCAGGTGCACCAAACCCAGCAGCTGGTGTTTCACAMATTGAATCCTTTCAAAAGTTATCTACCTGTCACTTGAAGGTTCATCTGACCCCAGGTTGGCTATGTTGGAAATCTACTCTAGTTTTATTATTTAAAAATGTAAGGAAGATTTTTCCAGAGAGTTGTGAAAGTCTATTTACAAGGGCATGCAGTGACAGGACAAGGGGGAATGGCTTCATACTGAAAGAGAGCAGGTTTAGATTAGGTATTTGGAAAAATCCTTTATTGTGAGGATGGTGAGACAGTGGAACAGGTTGCCCAGAGAAGCTGTGGAGGCCCCATCCCTGAAACGGTTCAAGGTTGGACTGGATGAGGCTCTGAGTAACCTGGTCTCGTGAAAGGTGTCCCTGCCCATGACAGGGGGACTGGAACTAGATGACCTTTAAGGTCCCTTCAAACCCAGGCTGTTCTGTGATTCTAYCATTTAATGAGARCTGRRCCACTAAACACTGACTGCACCWRYGGAAAATCTGCCCTTTTTTGCAACTTYCAGTTTCAACAAATTTCAGAGTTTTGCAACTTTTAATTTCCAGCTCAAATAATCTACAACTTTTGACAGTTAAGTGAAAAACACCTCTAGAACCAGATTTTTGCTAGTCCCAGAGGTACAGATGATCCAGCTATTTTGACCTGGTCTTACAGAGGCTGTGAAAGCTTTTTTGTTTCTCGATAAAAGAAAACTTTCATACACTGATCACTGTCCCATTCAAAGGCATACTACATAGCAGCAAACAGAAGTCATTTTACAGAGAAACTTTTGTATATGGCTTGAAAGAAAACCCATCAARAATTGACAATGATAGATGATCTCCCCAGTGTCATTCAGGCATAATGCAGTTTCATACTTATCTTAGGGAAAAAGAAGCAATGGACATATTTAAATAATCATTAAAAATTAGATGCCTGACACAAGGTAGGCTCCAACCCTGTTCTGCCACATATCTTCTGAAAATCTTTTCTGGATATTATCTGAAGGCTTCTTATTTCTGTTGCTYATGAAAAAAGAATTGTAATGGAGGCTCAAGTGTATATGTTATCAGCAAAAGGTTCAAGGGAAATTATGTGAAAGGACATTTTTCTGGTCTTCATGTTTGACATTCAGGAGTAGTGACGAGATAACGTAGGCACAGGAGTCTTTCAGAAAACCACCAGGGAGCAGTGGCAGCATTTCATAGGGATGTGAACCGTTCATCATCTGCTGCAAAGACTCCATTAAYGTGGCCTGGTTTTAAATCCAGTGCTTCACAAGGAATCCCATTTTCTAGTGTCACTTCAACTTTCTCTTCTAAATTTTCTGTCTCTGTTGACTCTTTATTCTTTCTAAAAACAAGAAAGAAAAGATCATCTTATTCTGTTGACCTGGAGCACTCCACCATGATTCCACAGACAAAACCCCACATATTYAGTTAGAAGTTTGTCATAGGTTACTTCCTCGTTGTAGTAAATACACTATATGGGTGTATCTAAATACAATAGCTGGGAGACCCATAGGTTGGAAGCCCTAGTTCAGTGGTTTGAGCTCAGAAATGGAAACCAAAAAAACTGAAGTAGTCATGTTGTAAGTATGTTTTAAATATTATTTCACCTTCTTATTCTAGTCTAACCCTACATTGTATGTCACAGATTTCACCCCATGATCTGTACAGAATAAAACACACTGTTTAGAAACAGATCAGTCTTAGACTAACTATAGCCTACAAATGTGGAGACTTGGGTGCCCCCACATCCATTATTACTTTCTTCGGAACTTAGATAAYCCCAATGATGCAACTCTGCATTTTTTCTTCAAACTTTATTACCAGCCACCTTCCTACCCAGTACTTCATACTTTTGTTTTCTAGATCAAAAAATTGCATAGCTTTCACTTTTCCAGGCTCCAGTTGTCCTCAAAAACTTGAAGCACATTCAAATGGTTGAATAAAATTATCCACATTTTTAAAAATCTTTTAAAAATGAGAAGTAATGAGTAAGATGTAGCAAAGAAATATCAGTAAACAGGTCATGATTTTCCTTTAATTCCAGATTTATTCTGACCTTGAGAACAACTAGTTCATAGTTGAAAAACCTGCTGTACTTTACAGCCTGCAGCATCAGCGGTTTCAGAGGATAAGAAACTCAAAGGTCAGCTGCASTGCTTCTTCCACAATGTGTACTGTACAATCTGACTCAGGACAACTGTAAAAATCTGACTCAGTCTAACTGCTAATAACAGAGATATTAACAATAATAAAATGTTATTGGCCTTTGGAAGATTCTTGGCATTACAGACTTGTTAAAATAAACTTGGGGTGTTGTAGCGGAAACCTCTGACCCCTGGCTGCTCCTACACTGATAAAAGGAGTATTCTTCAATACACAACTGTGGGGATAGAACATAAAAGTCACTAAGAAACAGGTGCAAAAGAGAGGAGTAGAAAATGTGTGAAACTCATTACCAGAGGAATTCAGAGAAGCTGAAAACATCCATGAATCCAAGGGGTGACTCAACAATTTAAGGGAAGAGAAAACATTGTGGGKTACCCAATACAAGAAGACCAAATCCAGCTCAAGGCCCACAGCYGCAAATTAAATGCTGGGAGACCAATCAAGGGAAAGACTGTCTGCTTACTCTGTTTTCACTCTTCCCAAAGCAAATGTTTGTGGCCTCTGCTGCAGATGGGATTTTGGGGGTAGGGGGAGACTTTGGGCTAGTTCAGGATAGGCAGCAGGGGATGSTCCTGCCTCTGGGCATGTGACAAATCTATTGCTGCAGAGGGAGGTGTCCTATTGCTGCAATGATAGGAGAGCAAACATCAGGATGGGAGACAGTGTGTCTGACCCAGCTCACTGCAGGCACCGAATTAAAGAAATCTCTCAGTTCAAGAAATTATGCATGAATCTAACTCAATAGTGAAACTCCTCTGCAGGCTAAGCCCCCTTCCCTGACACCCCAAGCAAAGACAGCCTGGAGCACATGCTTTTGGTCTTATCTGAACTGAGGTGTCTAAATGGCACTTCAAAGACAAAATGCCAGATTTGTGAGAAGTCAACACCATYCTTGGGGCCAGATTTCCAACACAGCTCACTAGGCACCAGGGTTCCCATTATGTGACCTCTGGACAGGCTTCCAAGAAAACTAATTGCTGGACATGCTGAAGYCTTTGAAAACCTGGTCACTTACTTCAGTGTCTGAAAAGAGAACAGCACTTTTGAAATTCTCTTCTCTGATGCCTGGCTCTTTTTTTTTTCCAATAAGCCAAATAACCCAGACCATCCCTTTTACCTCTCCAGTCCTCACATCAGTAGATGGAAGAARCAAATGCTTGTTTTACACTCTCTCACTTCCCCACCCCTGCCTGCAGATGTTATTGACATGAAAGGAGGGTTAGAGTTCAGCCACAGGTGAACCTGCTCTGAGGAAAGGTTATATGTAATGGTAGAGCAGGAAAACAGAGGAAGAAGGGAAAAAAGCATAGTAACTAAGAGGACAAGAGGATGAGACAGAGAGGGTGCCAAGTGAGCGCAGGCAGGCAGCAACAAGCCATATTAATGGCAGTGTGTTGAWAAGAGCAGGGAGTTCACACCACATTGAGGGGAACTGCTCAAGCTCAGCTGAGTTATTTCTAAAATACAGAGAGAAATCCTGTTCAGCATGAAGCACAAGTGATCATTTTAGCTAGAAAAATTGTAGCTATTTATCATAGTTTATTTATATTACACTTATTTTAAATGTTCAAACACCCCCTTTAAGTTAGGCACTATAAAGAAACACAGAGCCATGATACTACATAGAAGGCAGGTTTGGGCTCCAGGTAGCAACATCATTCAGTTTTAAAGAAGAGATTGTCTATTTTAGGGCATAAAATAATTCAGTATATACCATATGGTTATGATAGGGCTTTAACTATTCACAGACTCCAAATATTCATCTATTTCATCTATTGTTTGCAGAATTTTGTGGGGTTTTCTTTGAAAACAGAAAGGGGTTTTAGAAGTTCATGCAACTCCTCTGAATGTAAAATACAATTTAAGGGATTCTGACTATACTACTRAAGGCTCTCTATGAGAAGCATTTAACCTTCACAAGGGCTGTTCTTCTGAGGTCTTTTCACATTCTTCAAGGTAATAAAAAGGCAAAAAGGAAAAGTATCTACAACATACCACTTTTCACATATTAATTCCTTGTTCTGATGTATTTGGGAATATAATCCATCATACAGTCACTAATTTTGCCGTTATCTAGTTATCAGCAGGAATTTACCCATTTTTCAGTTCTTCTGTTCCCGTATGAATCTATTGCAGAAATCGTAATTTTGTGTAAACCTGAACTCTGTGGCAGCCTAAAGCATGTTAGAAGCTGAACTTCTATGGCAGAATCTCAACTCAGCTGAGAAATGTCTATTCCTCATGCCCAACTCGGAGCCAGCAGAGATGGCAGGATCAAAATTCCACCTGCTCTCTGTGTTGCTCCCACATGCTCACACTAGGGAAGCATGAATGGCCTCCTCTTTCTCACCAGTGCCACCACAGGGCAGAAACATAGAGGAAAAGAGAGTATCTCCTACCCTACTACAAGAAACTCACAGGGAGATCTGCCCATGAAGCTGTAAAGGGCTGGGTATTTTGGACTCATCAGGCCATGAATGGTAGGTGAAACCCTACACAGTTCCAGTGAGCAGGCCCTCTTCAGCCATACAYTAATCATKACTGTGTGCTCTAYTGAGTCTTCTCAAGCTGCAGCAGCMMATTTTTTTTAGCCCTGCCAGCTTTCAACACTATTGCCCTGGAAGAGGCATTGTCATTGCCAGCCTTGTCCCTCGTGGTAGCTTTGTGGGTGGTCTGTGAGAGGAGACTCACCTGTGGCACAATAAACCTTCACAAGAATGAYACCAAATGTCTTTTTAAAGCTCATTTCTAGTCGGTGGCCTCCAGGATCATATTCTTACACTCTCCATTTCCTCATTACATCCCAAAATTACTAAGGCATCTATATTTCACTGTTAAATATTTTAAGCCTTTTTCTCAGAAAAGGAGACATGGGAAAGTTGGGAAAGGGAGCACAGCGTTAATCTGTCTGAGGCTGTTCTGAAACACAAACTAGCCCAGCTGACCTAACTARCCAGTATTCCATTAGAACAGAAGAAAGGCTAAGCTGCTTACTTCTTGTGCTTCTGAATCCCTGAAAAAATGAGGAAAACAATCCCRGCCACAATGAGACAAAGAACAACACCAAATACAATAAGCCAGACAGGTGTAGAGGGTTCAACAGGAGGTGATAAGGTTGAGGTTATCTTCAGGAACTGCAGTGTTTTGTCGCTCAGTAGGAAGGCACTGTTGATTCTGTTCCGGTTCATCCTTCAGAAAAAAAGAAACAAAACAAAACACAGAAACATCACAACTCTTTATAAAGGTATTTTGCAAGTTTAAGAGATAGTAGAAAATAAAAGGGTTTTTCATGAACGTGCTGCAAGTTTGGCAGGGCTGAATGTCATCCAGCATGATGAAGAAAAGGCTGTGGACATTGCCTGTCTTTACTGGGGGTCATCCTCCTCTCTCAGACAACAGGACAAGAGGACATAAYTCACACTGTACCAGGGAAGGTTCAGGTTGGACAACAGGAAGAATTTCTCCACTGCAAGGGTGGTTAAGCATTGGAAAAGGCTRCCAGGGAGTAGAGTCACTGTCCCTRGARGTGTCTAAGACACAACTGTAYGTGCCACWGAGTRCCATGGTCTGCTTGACCCAGTGGTGTTCGGTCAAAGGTTGGATTCASTGATCTCAGAGGCCTTTTCCAAACCTAAATGATTCWTTGATCCTGTGATTTTATGATTCTGTGATTCTATGATGCTGGCAGGATTACACAGACCTTGATTATTACATAGACCCTCAGTAAATGACAGATATCCACACATTCACAACATTTCAAGCACYAGACTTCCATATGCATTTATCTGAAAAACTGGGAAATACAGATGAGACCTCAACTACAATATTACTATTTATGTCTGGCTTGAACCATGTCCTAAAGACAGCARGCTGTAAGCCAGAAGATTGGCTCTGTTGCCTTGCTCATGCAGCATTCAAGATTAGCACAGGAGTGGCAGATCTACCCTTCAATGCTCAGAGGATTCACTTACAGTGCCCCACATCTGCCTCTGCTGCTGCAGATTTTCTTAGATACATGAGGAACAGGATACAATTTGGCCCAGAATAATCCACACCACATGTCCTTYTACCCTGCAGGATGCAGCTAAAGGGATTTGTACTTTCCACATTTTTTTCCATTATAAGAAACTGTAAGTCTGAGAAATACGCTTTTTCACAGAACARCTCCTAATACATTAGGAGCTGGGCTACTCCTTAATAGATATCTTCACCCATTTTCACTGCCTGTAYGCATTTGCAGGTACTTCTGAATCTAAATCTAAGCAGCTTTAAGAGGCTTTAGAAGTATCTTCCATTAGCTTTTTCAAAATGTTAAAAAATTTTAAGCACATGGATGGCATCTATTGGTCTTGAGAGATTCTTCTTGATAGCAGCTGTATGAATTAATGCAGGTCTTTTTGCATACAATTCAATTTATTTACCACAGAGCAAGTATTTCCTAAGAAAAGATGCATGGGAAGGTTTARAAAAATTGTTTTCTTGGAAATCATAATGTTTGGCCATCTCTTAAGCAGGAAGTTCTTAGCCTTAATGGAAAGTCAGCATTCCTGGACAGGACTGAAAGCCATGGCATGTTTTAAGAATCATTATACTGTAAGCTGTCTGCCATTTAGAAAAGATTTCCTTACTGATATAAAAGGATCATTGTGAACAGCTGAAAYAAGCATTGTTCACTCTCACCTAATGGCCTGAGTTTCAAAATTATGTACTAAAACACATGCAGGTGACTACTAGTGCATTTCATGTTTGTATGTGCATAACTATATCTTCTGTACACTTATGCAAAAACTTGAGTCTCATAAAGAGCTCTGCATGGTTTACCTTCCTCTTTATCCTTACTTTGTACAAATCTCACACAAATTTGTACTTTGTACAAATTCTAGTCCATGACTAGTGTTCCTATGTGCTACTGTAATATGAAGAATTATAATAAAGGTTTTGTATAGAAGCCTGCAATCAGAAGCATTTGAACAAAAAGTACTGTAGTTTTATAGACCATTTTATTTCTTGTTTTTAAATTAGGTAGGAATTAAAACTTTTCATAAATAGCATATTCTTTATCAGGTGACAGACAATAGTTAAAAACCAAACAATAATAGCATCCAATTTCTGTGCCAAACGGGGCACATAAAAGACTTAAATAAATCAGCTTATGCTACTGAACGTATCAAAGAATAACAGAAATGCAAAACCYCCGCATTCCAGCACTCTTACAGAGAGCTTCAGTGAATAAATAATCTGCTTCCTTCACTAATGCTATGAAGCTATTGTTTGGTGTCTCTGTAGGAAATAGTTTAATCTGCTCATAAGATTAAATTAATCTTTCCAGAAGAACGCATACTCATTCATCAGGAATTAGGCATTACACCTCCATAGAGATAACACAAATTTTCAAGACAGAGCACAGAATGCTGCAAAACAAAGAGATCCATTTTCCACTCCACGCTTGAGAAATGTATATGTGTTATGCTGCTTGAGGGACTCATCCCTATAAACCCCTGGTGAAGGTTTTTTTGGACCATTGAAGCCAGATTACCCATTTTTTCTTTTTTCCTTGTCAGCTGCACATTCTTCCTTTTACTTGCTACAGAATGTGACAGTAGAAAGCAAAGTGATTTGTAGTGCTCTGTACTTCGTACAAGCAATGCTCAGCTGTGACACTGACTGGCATTCTAGAACAAGGTGGTATGAAAAGAATGTGARCACAAGATTGTTTAAACCAGGCTGGAACACAGCCAGTCTGCTCATGAGGAGTTCACACGAGCTCTTCTCATGTGAAAGCTGACTTCTACCTTAAGTCAGATGAATTGTTAGTGAGAAGCACTGAAAGGGAGCCTGTGGTCATTAGTCCAGGTGTAGAGGTGCATGTAGCATGCRGTGAAAGCTAAATTATATTAGTCCCAGCTGGAAGGTGTGCCCTTCCATCATCTGAGGGAGAAAGGTGTCTCACTGGGAAATGCAGCAGCTGGATGAGAGCAGTGCATGTGCCACACACTGGWCAGCACATCACAGGCAGGGCTCTGAAAAGGGCATAGATTTCTTCTGAGTCTCCAGCATCAACAGAGACTCCTTCCAAAGTTATAATCCCAAGGCTCACATGCTTTGCATTCTGTGGGACTATTAAAAAGCCTCTAATCTCACATTCATTAAAGAGTACTGACCCCTTGGTGTTTTAGCAACTTGGATTAGTTCATCCTTAAAGAGGCAGAGTGCTCATTCATACAAGGCCCAGAGAGAGAAAAGATTGTCAGTAAATAAGGAAGAAAACATTGYAAAAGCAGTGACTGTACCTGATGGCTGCCTCTACCTCACTTCCAGGAACAGTTGTCACATTTTTKGAAGAATCTGTGACCACAAACCAAAAGGACACCCGGTCTGTCACATTGCAGAGCAGCACATTGGAAATTCTGCAGATAGTTAAAACAAAAATCATCATCAAAGAAGCATGGAAGGAATTATTGAAATATTTCAGATTTTCTTAAAATATTGCTCTCACCTAAGGGGGGAATTCTTATTTTTAAAACAGTTAACAGTTAATACTCAAGAAAGAAATACCACTCACGGCATTTCCCATTTCCCAATGTGATTTTTTAAAAATCAAGCTTATATAGACCAAATGAGTCTTAAATAAATTTCTGAATCCATAACAAACTTGCATGATCTTGGACATACATTTAGCATTATCAAATGGAAAACCATGTATATAAATATTAATCACCAGGGCTATGACAAAGGCCATGTAATGGAGTAAATATGTTGGTGAACCAAAAGTTTTGGTTTTGACACYGAATACCACCAGAACCAGTCACTGGGAATTCCCCACATGATTGTCAAGTGAGTGCAATTCTTCCACAAGATACATTTGCTGAAGAGAAGAGCAGTGGATTAGATGTTATTCTTTTAGACATCTGTTCACAGAGCCAGGCACAGAGTGGAGCGAACAAGCTAAATTAAGTCCTCCTATTGGCATTGGTCTCTGCCCTTTAGCTTATACTGTGAAGTATTTTTATTTTATTTATTTATTTATTTATTTATTTTATTTATTTTAAAGGAAGATTACTCAGCTTTATGTGAACTTTTATGTGGAGGGGCACAGGCAGGAGGCTTTTCATGGCATACTATGTAAATAGTGTGCAAAATGCCTCTTAAACGCCTTTTTCTTCAGATGCCTACAAACTGGGTTTCTGCCACTAAGGCTAGTAAATGGTGGAAATGTCAAAAAACCCTTATAGAATGACACAATCATGAGCATTTAAACGAAGGAAATAAAAGTTAATCCATTCCTGTACCGTAGCACGGACCCGGCGAGCCCCGCGCTCTGCTGGGGAGCGCCACCTGCCGGCCGTGGGCAGCACCGCCCGGCCCGCGGGAAGATGGGAGCGGCGCTGTGGGATCGGTGGGACCCGTGGATTTGGTGGCATTGGGGTRACAGGGACGGGAGGGAGTGCGAACGTGCAGACCCCATCCAGCCAGAGACCAGTATGCTTATAAGGCAGATCACAGTACCTCATCATGGATATTTTGTAGAAATGTTTTACTTCCTGATGAAAGCTTTTTTTGAGTGGTATTTTGGGTGCCCCAGCTAGTGCAATATCTCATTTTACAGAGGTCTATCTATCTATCTATCTATCTATCTATCTATCTATCTATCTATCTATCTATCTATCTATCTATCTATCTATCTATCTATCTATCTATCTATCTA